TTCAAATTAAATAGAAACTTTTTCTCCTTTTATATCTCTTTACCTTCCTCCATTTATTAATTGTCTTACGTATTTTCTCTTACAGCCCCATCAGAGTGTTACTCATTTGCTTCAACCACCATACATAATTAAGCAAACTCAAGAAAACAGGGAACAGCTGTTGTATTTACTCACATTTTTCTTGTATCCTGTTTTCATTTGTAGCATTTCTTCCTTTATTGCTTCCTCTTCTGTTCAGAGAATTTCCTTTGGCTATTCTTTCAGAATTCCCTAGTTTTGCTTCACTGAACAATCATTTCAATTTCTTCTCAATTATTACAAATATTTTTGGATGTAGGATTCTGTGTAGATAGGGTCCTTTTCTCTCAGCTAGTGATAACTGTACCACTTCCTTCTAGCCTCCAGGATCTCTGATGAGAAATCCTCTTTCATTCAACTTGTGTTGCCAGAATAGATGAGATGTCACTTTACTATGGCTGCTTTCAAGATTTTCCTATATTTGAATCTTTAAAAGTTTATAGCATAGATGTCAATCTTGTGGATTTTCTCGACTTCTTGAATTTGCACCTGTTTCTTGTGTTTGGGGAGTGTTCTTAGTTACTATTTAGTCCCTTTTTTCCTTTGCTTCTAGAGTTTTCTCTACATGTATGTGAAATACTTTACTGTAATGTCACATGCCCTTAAGGATTTTTTGTTGTTTGTTGTTTGTTTGTTTTTGTGCCAGTCCTATGGCTTGAACTCTGGGCGTGGGTGCTATCTGAGCTTTTGTACTCAAGGCTAGCACTCTACCATTTGAGGCCCAGCTCCACTTCTGGCTTTTTTTTTTTGGGGGGTCCGGTCGGTTGTGGGGCCTGAACTCTGGGCCTGGGTGCTGCCCCTCAGCTCTTCAGCTCAAGGCTAGCACTCTACCACTTGAGCCACAGCGCCACTTCCGGCTTTTTTCATTTTGCTTATGTGGTACTAAGGAATCGAACCCAGGGCCTCAGGCATGCAAGGCAAGCGCTCTACCACCGAGCCATCTTCCCAGCCCCACTTCTGGCTTTTTTGTTGGTTCATTAGAGATAAGAATTTCACAGACTTTCCTGCCATGGCTGGCTTCCAACAACAATCCTTGAATCTCAGCCTCCTTGAATAGCTAGGATTACAGGTGTGAGCCACAGGCTCCTGGCTTCTGTTTTCAGTTTTGCTGACACTTTTTGCCTTATGAGCTCAGTGGTTTATCAATATCATATTTGTAATTGCTCATTGAAATAATTTTATGATGAATCCATTAAAATCTTGGGTGATTCTGACATCTGTGTCATTGTGATGTTGCTGTCTATGGATTATTCTTTCTCATTCAATTGATTTCTGTATTTTTGTATTTCTTTGCTTTTATTTTCTGTCCTGTAGATTTTTATATCCACATTTACAAAATTCATATTTGTATAGTGGGGATTTTTCAGTTTTTGTTCTTTGAATATTTTGGAATAATAGTAGCTGTCTCTTTTTTTTTTTTGTCGTGGAGCTTGAACTCTGGACCTGAATGCTGTCCCTCAGCTCTTCAGCTTAAGGCGAGCACCCTACCACTTGAGCCACTGTGCCACTTCTGGTTTTCTGGTGGTTTATTGGAGATAAGAGTCTCATGGACTTTGCTGCCCAGGCTGGCTTTGAACCATGATCCTCAGATCTCAGCCTCCTGAGTAGCTAGGATTACAGGCGTGAACCACCAGTGCCCAGCCTTAGCTGAGGTCTTAATAATAGCAAGGTTTGGCCTTAAATTCACTGTAACCCAGGCTGGCCTTGAACTTGATTCTTCTGCCTCAGTCTCCCAAGTACTAATAGACCTATGTCATCAAACTAAGTGTCAGTGGATTTTGTTTTGTTTTTTAATCAAAATGAGGGTCTTCAGGGTATTATGTGCATCAGGATCTTTTCCTAAATCTACAGATACTGGGGCTTGAACCCAGGTGCCTCTTGCTTACTTTGTTTTCTGCTTACAGCCTTTGCTGTACCACCGGAGCCGTGCCTTTAGTCTTGCTTTTTGCTAATTAATTAGAGATGGACTCTCACAGATTTTCTGCCATGGTTGGCTTCAAACTGAGATCTTCCAGGTCTGAGCCTCCTGAGTAGCTAGGATTATAGATGTGCCACTGCTGCTCAGTCCTGATTTAAATCTTCTGGTATAGCAACCTCCTCAGACATTGCTCCGGTGAGGGAAGCAGAGGATACTGCTTTGTTCCTACAGGTGGGTGTGGGATGGGGTGTATTGCCTCCCAAAGGGAGGAAAAGTTTGGTCTCCGTCTTTGATCTTACTAAGTTTTTGATGTGGGATGGGTGCATGGGCTTCTAACAGCCTGGTGAGAAGTGATAAGCCATAGTATTGTTTACTGTGTTCTTTGGCTAGTGTGGAGCAGTAATTGTCTAAAAGCTTTCTATGTTGCCAGACTTCTGCCTTCCTCATCCTTTGAATAGAGAACAGTTTTTGGGGCCCATTTGTTACCTGTACCTCTTAGAATTTCTAAGCTTCTGCTTCTTGAGGCCTGAGATATTGGAGTAAAGGAAAGCCAGGGACTCCCTGCCCAGTCTTTTTTTTGGGTCCGGTTGTGGGGCCTGAACTCTGGGCCTGGGCGCTGTCCCAGCCCCTGCCCAGTCTCTCTTTGCCCCTTTCTGGGGGTTATGTTACATTTGTTTTACGTACTTTGTATATAGATTTTTTTAGTTTCACTTAGTAAAGGAATAGAGAAGAATATGTCTCCTTTACTTTCCACTTTCCTTTTGCTGAGATCTATAGTTTAATTTCTCAGGTTGTTGAAGAGCTAGAAATGGAGCTAGAAGTTCTGAGACTGAGCAGTGTACAACCCAGGAACAGTGATTCAGAGTGTCAGATGTGAAGGACTAGCCTGTGGTAAAGCCCTGCCTTCTGAACCTTCATGCTGCAAGTGTAACAACACATTTCTTCTCTGAGCCATACTCTTACTAAATAACTTCATACTGCAAATATTTTCACAAGATGGGGGCCTGTTTTGATACTCTAGTCTTCTGATCTACTCCTGGCCTGAGTTTTTTTTTTTTTTTTTCTGGCCTGAGTTTTTTTTTATCAGCTTGGGAAAGTTTCTCAAAAAATGATTTTGGTTTTTCTCCATAAGCAGAAGCTGAGTGTAAATGAGTGAGAGCTGTCTGTTTCCCCAGATCCCATGACTGCAGTGTCCTTACTGAGGGAATGGGTGGTATGCTCAAGCTACACACTTCTACAACACCATCCTCAAGTAAAGACAAGCAGATTTGTCCTTGTTTAATGAATGTGAAAGGGGCTAGGAAACAATTTACTTTTCACATTTAAAAACTATCCTAACCCAGGCGCTGATGGCTCACGCCTGTAATCTAGCTACTTAGGAGGCTGAGATCTGAGGGTTATATGGTTCAAAGCCAGCCCAGGCAGGAAAGTCCATGAGACTTACCTCCAACGAACCAGCAGAAAACTGGAAGTGGCACTGTGGCTTAAGTGATAGAGCACTAGCCTTGAGCTGAAGAGCTGAGGGACAATACCTAGGCCCAGAGTTCAAGTCCCACGACTGACCAAAAAAAAAGGGCTGGGAAGGTAGCTCAGTGGTAGAGAGCTTGCCTTGCATGCATAAGGCCCTGGGTTTGATTCCTCAGCATCATATAAGCAAAAAGAAAAAAGCTGGAAGTGGCGCTGTGGCTCAAGTGGTAGAGCACTAGCCTTGAGCTGAAGAGCTGAGGGACAGCATCCAGGCCCAGAGTTCAGGCCCCACAACTGGACCCCCCCCCCCCCCCAAAACAAAACAAAACTCTACTAGGGGGGAAAAAAAAGGTTGAGACTATGGTAGAATTCCTAACCACAGTGGTAGAGCGCTCACCTTGAGCTGAAGAGCTGAGAGACAGTATTCGGCGTTCAGGCACGGAGTTCACGCCCCATGACTTGACAAATATAATAATAATGTTCTTGATGAAACAATCATGAGATGCTAAAGGAAGAGAGGTGCCCTTCCATGTTGCCCTCAATCAATCTGAAATGCACTTTCAAATGAGGCAGCATCTTCCCTGGATTGAGGACTCCTTGAGCAAGATAGCTCTCAATAGTCATCAGACTGGAAAGAGAAGGGTTTGACCTGTAGTTGCCAAGTACTGTCTGCAGATGCTCTTAGAATGTGCACCCCAGCCAGGCGCCGGTGGCTCACGCCTATAATCCTAACTACTTAGGAGGTTGAGATCTGAGGATTGCGGTTCAAAGCCAGCCCAGGCAGTAAAGGCCGTGAGACTCTTATCTCCAGTTAACCACCAGAAACCCAGAAGTGGCACTGTGGCTTAAGTGGTAGAGTGCTAGTCTTGAGCTGAAGTGCTGAGGGTCAGTGCCCAGGCCCAGAGTTCAAGCCCCATGACTGACAAAGAATGTGCACTCCAGAGATAGAGGCCCCTTGCTAATCCAAAGTGGAGGGCATTCTCTGCACTCACATAGACTCTGCCAGGCAGTTCCTAGTGACAGTGTCTCTTCACTTCTTAATCCCCGACTCTTTGTCACTCACACATACATGTATTGTTATATGACTGATATGATCTGCTGTTTTATCTGCTAGTTCCTTATTTCCTACTTCAATTCCTTGTTTAACTCTGTGCTTTTTTGATCAACTTTTGAAGTGCCTTCTCATGGCCCTGTCTTCCTCCAAAAATTGGTTTTTATCTTTGGGTTCTCAAAATAAATTTGTCTCTAAATTATAATTGGCACACTGTGCATAATAGGTTTATTCTGATTTACCTTTGACACCTAGAAATAATCTCAGCTACCATCTATTACTAAAAGTTCTACTTATGACTGTAAAATATTACTTGTTTTCATATATACTGGTTTTATATATATGTATATATATATATTTATATATATGTATATATATGTGTGTGTGTGATTTAAATTTTTTTCTTTTTGCTCCCTGGGGTATCTCTTCCCTTTCCTATAAATTGTGCTCCCTGCATGGCTGTGCCCTTTCCCCTGTTGCCTATAGGGTTCTATGGCCTAGATGAGTCTGATCTCGACAAAGTCTTCCACTTGCCCACCACCACTTTCATCGGTGGACAGGAGTCAGCACTTCCTCTGCGGGAGATCATCCGACGGCTAGAGGTAAGAACGTGATGTGGTTTCTAGAACAATCTACTAGACTTGCTAAAATCCTGCAGTTTGGATAAACTCCAGATTTTTGTTTTTGGTGATTGGATTTGAACTCTAGCCTTTATTCTTGATGGTTAGGTGCTCTACCACTTAAGCCACCACCACCACCACCCCCAGCCCTTTTTGCTTTTGTCAGTTTTTGAATAAGATCTTGCATTTATGCTTGAGTTGAACTGAACTTTGCTCCTCCTATGTGTTTTTTGCATAGCTGTGATAAGTGTACATCACACCACACCTAGCTTTTTATTGACTAAGAGTCTCATAAACTTTTTACCAGGGCTATTCTCTGTGATCCTTGTAATCTCTACTTTCTAAGTAGCTAGGATTGCAGGCCGGACTTTACACACACAGTAGTGGCTGGCTGGTTGGCTGGCAGGTACATACTTCCTTTCTCTCTCCTTTTCTTTTCCTTTTTGGTGGTGTTGGGGTTTGAATTCAGGGCCTCTTGCTTGCTAAGCAGACATACACTACTTGAAACACTCTACCAGCCTCCTTTTATTTTGTTTTGCTTTTTTGTTTTTGTTTTTTGTTGTTGTTGTTTTTGGTCAGTCGTGGGGCTTGAATTCTGGGCCTGGGCGCTTATCCCTACACTCTTCAGCTCAAGGCGAGCATTCTACCTCTTGAGCCACAGCACCACTTCCGGTTTTCTAGTAGTTTTTATTGGAGATCAGAGTGTCACAGACTTTTCTGCCCAGGCTGGCTTTGAACCGTGATGCTCAGATCTCAGCCTCCTGAGTAGCTAGGATTACAGGCATGAGCCACCGGCACCCTGCTGTTTTGGTTATTTTTGAGATAGGGATCTGTGCCTGGGCCAGCTTGAACTGTGTTCCTCCTATTTATGTTTCCCTTTGTTAGCATGACGATGCACCCCACTACACCCAGTCATTCGTTGAAATGGAGCCTTTTCAACATTCATTCTTGGTCTAGCTTTAAACCATGACCCCTCAATCTGTCTCCCAAGCAGCTAGGATTACAAGCTTGAGGCACAGGTGTCCAGCCTCTGGAAGGCCTTTTTTTTTTTTTTTTTTTGTCAGTCATGGGACTTGAACTCTGGGCTTGGGCACTGTCTATGCACTCTTCAGCTCAAGGCAAGTGCTCTACCACTTGAGCTACATCGCCATTTCCGGTCTTCTAGTGGTTTATTGGAGATAAGAGTCTCATAGAGTTTCCTGCCCAGGCTGGCTTTGAACCATAATTCTCAGATCTCAGCCTCCTGAATAGCCACCAGCGCCCGGTAAGGCCTATACTTTTTATTTATTTATGTATTTTTGGGTCTGGTCGTGGGGCCTGAACTCTGGGCCTGGGCGCTGTCCCTCAGCTCTTCAGCTCAAGGTTAGCACTCTACCACTTGAGCCACAGCGCCACTTCCAGGTTTTTTCTTTTTGCTTATGTGGTGCTGAGGAATCGAACCCAGGGCCTCATGCATGCAAGGTAAGCGCTCTACCACTGAGCCACCTTCCCAGCCCTAGGCCTATATTTTTTAAGAATGTTAAGGAAGGTGACTTTCCATTTTGTGACTAGCAGAGTTTTTTTTGTTTTTTGTTTTTTGTTTTTTTTTAGGAGTTTGGTTTTCAGTTATCCACAGAGAGAAAATTCTCTCTACAGGGATTTCAGAACCCTGTTATTTTGTTTAAGATATATGAGGCTCCCTGGAGATCTTCCTTCACCCAGAGGACACTCCTACAGCCACAGATTGCTCCCCACACTGATAAGTCTCAAGACAGCAGGTGGTAGTTGCCCTCAATCTCCCTCATTTCTCTCATCCCTCTCATTTACTCTTTTCCTTCTTTTGGTAGTACTCATTCTGCCAGAGAACTCCTTCACACATATCGTAGGCAGTGGCTGAGAGTCTGGTGCCCGGGTCCTTGTGCTTCCTTGTTTATAAGGATAACCGCAGTACCCACTCCAGAAAGAATGGATTTAATGAGAGGTCATTGACCAGTGTTAGCTGTCCGTGGCATTCTGAGCTAACAGATTCTGAACCTATGGCATCTGATGTACCTAACAGTCCAGGTTGAGTCACACTGGCAAACAGATAGGCAAGTGGACTCCTACCGTGGCTGGACATTGGATTTAATCCCAGGCCCCTATGTCCAAATCCTCTCACCAAGTCAGTGATGAACCCTGACTGCAAGAGTGGTGTATAAGTCTGTGAGTCAGTAAGCTACTCTCCATAGTTTGTGATAAACTATAATCTTGTCACCATCTCTCCTTGGTGCTTCCATTCAGTTTTCTACCTCTTGTGCAATGGTAACAACCAAAGGAAGAATGTGCCTTCCCCAGCGCCTCTCATTAGCAAGCCGAGAGGAGGGTTGACAAGGAGTGGATAAGGGAGCTACTTACTGGATGTCAGCTCACATACACCCAGGGAAGACTGGACTTCTGTGACACTTAGTATTAACAGCCTCTGTGGGGCTGGTGTCTGTAGAAGCTCTTCTGCTGGTCAGTAAATTGGGTCCCTACATGTGTGAAGAGTGAGACACAGCAGTGGATTAATGACAGCTATGACAGGACAAGGGCTGATCCAAAGGTTCCCAGTTATCATTAAGAAGTAGGGTTTGGGGGCAAGAGGCCGGCAGCTTACACCTACAATCTTAGCTACTTAGGAACTGAGATCTGAGGATTGCGATTCAAAGCCAGCCCAGATGAGAGAATTTGTGAGACTTATCTCCAATTAACTGCCTGAAAATCAGAAGGAGAGCTGTGGCTCAAAGTAGTAGAGCACTAGCTTTGAGCACAAAAACCCTCAAGAACAGTATCTAGGCCCTGAGTTCAAGCCACTACTGACCAAAAAAAGAAAGGAAAAAAAAAAGAAAATAAGGAGCTGGGAAGTTGGCTCAGTGGTAGAGTGTTTGCCTTGCATGCCTGAGGCCTTGGGTTCGATTCCTCAGCACCACATAAGCAAAAAGAAAAAAAAAAAAAGCCGGAAGTGGCACTGTGGCTCAAGTGGTAGAGCGCTAGCTTTGAGCTGAAGAACTAAGGGACAGCGCCCAGGCCCAGAGTTCAGGCCCCACGACCGGACCCAAAAAAAAAAAAAAAAAGAAAAAGAAAATAAGAAATAGCATTTGGGGATTAATTAACACATCTTAAATACCAGGTTCATTCCCAGCAATATTTTCTTTGTGTTGATTTCCTTCATTGAACCAGGAACACGAGTGTGGTTGATAGTCTGTGCATTCAAGCAAAGTTAGCTTTGGCCCTTCACCTTGTAGAGAACAGGCTCCCATCGGCAAATCTGGCATGTCCTTTTAACTGCTCGGTGTCAGCTGGTTTCCTCATCTGTTGAGGAAACCAAGTGGAATCTCAGAAAGGAGCTACTGGACTGGGAAAGTGGTTCCGTGATAAGAGTGCTTGCCTCATATGCATGAAGCCCTGGGTTCGATTCCTCAGCACCATATAAACAGAAAAAGCCGGAAGTGTCACTGTGGTTCAAGTGGTAGAGCACTAGCCTTGAGCTGACAAAAAAAAAAAAAAAAGCTACTGAGCAAGTTCTCAGGCTCTGAGTGCTTGGGTGTCAGAGGCTATCAGGGGTTTCTGTAAAGTCTCTGTTAGCTACATCGAGGCCTGTTCCCTTTGCTGCTCCAGTGCTAGTTCTAAGTTTCCTTTCATACCTGTATTCTGAGCCTCCACAGCAGCAACACAGATAGAGATCTAAAGCTTAGCAGGATCTGGCAGGATCCCTGGGGCTTCTATAGTTTACAGACCCTTTCTCTAATTTTTTTTCCCAAGAGAACTGGCTCTCTCATGGGCAAACACCCCCATCTAGCTTGCTACCAACCTATCCACACTGGTGTACGGTTGTGGTTTGGAGCATGTTTGATGTGTTCAAGACCTGTCCCTTGTCATACATACAGTGTGTTATACACACTTCTTCCAGCCTGAAGTATCCAAAAGGAGTCAGCCACTAGAAAATAGAAATTAAGGTCTAGGAATGTGGCTCAGTGGTAGAGTGCTTGCCTAGTATTCATAAAGGCCTGGTTCGATTCCTCAGCACCACATAAACAGAAAAAGCCACAAGTAGAGTTGTGGCTCAAATGGTAGAGTGCTAGCCTTGAGCTCAATAAGCTCAGGGACAGTGCCCAAGTCCTGAGTACAAGGCCCATGACTGGCAAAAAGAAAAAATTGAAGTGAAGCTGGGCATGTTGGTGCACATCTGTAATCCCAGATACTCCAGAGCTAAAAATAGAATTACAGTTCAGGGCAGACTGGGGCAAAACTGTAAGATCCTATCCAAAAATAAAGCAAAGGAGCTGAGTCATGGCCAAGTGGTGGAGCACTTGCCTAGCAAGCACAAGGCTGTGAGTTCAAAACTCAATATTGGCCGGATGCCAGTGGCTCTCGCCTGTAATCCTAACTACTAAGGAGGCTGAGATCTGAGGATAGTAGTTCAAGGCCAGCCCAGGCACAGAAGTCTTACCTCGAATAAACCACTCAGAAAAGCGGAAGTGGTGTTGCAGCTCAAGTGGTAGAGCATTTGCCTCGAGCTGAAGAGCTGAGAGACAGTGCCCAGGCCCAGAGTTCAAGCCCCACGACCGACCAAAACAAACAACTCAATACTACCAAACTAAAGTTAAAAATGTAAGTCTTAACCAGGTGCCAGTGGCTCATGCCTGTATTCCTAACTTCTCAGCAGGCTGAGATCTGAGGATTGTAATTCAAAGCCAGCCTAAGCAGAAAAGTCCATGCGACTCTTATTTCTGTTTTCTTAGTCACACCAGCTCAGGTACATTGGAGGAGGAAGTCTGCTCCTCCTCAACCTTTTGGCTGAATAGACTGAGTCAGCACTATTCATCCAACCAAGCTTGGTAAAATATGTATATGTGGGAGACAGATGGCCTGTTGCAAGCACATTGGGATGCGGCTCATGTTCACCATTGATCTGTGTGTCCTCTTGTGGGGGTACAGATGGCATATTGCCAGCACATTGGGGTGGAGTTCATGTTCATTAACGACTTGGAGCAATGCCAATGGATCCGGCAAAAGTTCGAGACCCCTGGGATCATGCAGTTCACCAATGAGGAGAAGCGGACCCTGCTGGCAAGGCTTGTGCGGTCCACCAGGTATGAGTCAAGCTGGGACTGTGGAGCACAGACTCCCAGGGGATCCATGGCTCGTCTGTGGTTATGGGCCTAATATGGGCCTCTCGGCCAGGGTGGATGGCCATGGGGCTGTCCACAGCTGCATACAGATGGCCAAGTGAGTAGAGTTGGTCTTCAGAGTATCCTCTTGTCATTTAGGAACATCTAATGGTGTTGTTAGGGTTAGCTCTTGAGACATTGCTCTTCAAGGTGCTTGGTTCCTTGTCCAGGTTTGAGGAGTTCCTGCAGCGCAAGTGGTCCTCTGAGAAGCGCTTTGGTCTGGAAGGCTGTGAGGTGCTGATCCCTGCCCTCAAGACCATCATCGACAAGTCGAGTGAGAATGGCGTGGACTATGTGATCATGGGCATGCCACACAGGTACTGCCAGGCGTGTTGCAGGCACAGGAGTGGGGTTCCTGTTCAGTGCCAGAGAGTTGGGGCCTCACTGGGACATGTCTTGTTTCCAGGCATGCCTGGGTTAGAATGACTACAGAGTCATTTTCAAAGCCAGCCTACATATAGTTCAGACTGGCTTTTAGCATTGTACTGAATCTTATACAGTTGAAAGCCCAGCTGGGCATGGTATCCACACCTACAATCCCACACTAGGGAAAGTAGCCTGGGCTACATAGTTCCAGCATAGCCTGCGCTACGTACATAGCAAGACCTTGTCTCAAAAATAAATTCCAGTGCCTTGGATGGGACCCTACTTGGAGGAAAGGCCACTCTGATGTTGAGGGTAAGCAAAGGGGGCACCAGGGGCTGGCAACATTGTGTACCCGTCTCCATTTCTACCACCCATGGCTTGTGGCCTTGAATCCCCACTAGGCAGAGACTCACTCACCATATGGGTCCTGGTTACAACTATTGTTGGGCTGTAGATGAAGATGATGCAGTGTCCTGAAAGAGGGACAGGGGGAACAGCCATGACCTGGAGTTCTGCTCATCTGACCTTCTATCCCTCCCAGGGGACGGCTAAATGTACTTGCAAATGTCATCAGGAAGGAGCTGGAGCAGATTTTCTGTCAGTTCGATTCAAAGTTGGAGGCAGCTGATGAGGTGAGGTCTCTGTATGGAGACATACCCAGTGTGGTCGCCTCACCTACACAAGGTCCCTGACTACACTGCTTTCTCAGAATGTCCTAGCAGATGCTTGGCTCTTCCAAACTTTAATTTGTCTTTATCTCTGGCAGTGGCCAAACTTCCCTTCCCAGCAGTCTCCTTTTCTTCCTGGTGGGGGAAGGAGCCCCCCTCTCCTTGTGCTAGGTTGGATGATCTTGAGAAAAGGCTATGCCATCCTTCTAGAGTGAGCCTTGGAAGTAGAAATCCCATCTGAAGGGTTATTGTGGGAAACTGAGCATCTCCTGGCCACCATCAGATTTGTTGTTTGCACCATCAGGGCTCCGGGGACATGAAGTACCACCTGGGCATGTATCACCGTAGGATCAACCGTGTGACCGACAGGAACATCACCCTGTCCCTGGTGGCAAACCCTTCCCACCTGGAGGCTGCTGACCCTGTGGTGATGGGCAAGACCAAAGCTGAGCAGTTCTACTGTGGGGACACTGAAGGGAAAAAGGTGAGGTCCCCACAGAGCATGGAGAGATAGTCCCTTCAGCCCAGAATTCAACACAGAGCTCTCTACTCTACTGAGGTTCAATGCCCTGAGCATGTTGTAGATTTATTTCTGCTGTTTAAAAATATTGTAAGATGGGGCTGGGAAGATGGCTCAGTGGTAGAGTGCTTGCCTTGCATGCCTGAGGCCCTGGGTTCGATTCCTCAGCACCACATAAACAAAAAGAAAAAAGCCGGAAGTGGCGCTGTGGCTCAAGTGGTAGAGCGCTAGCCTTGAGCTGAAGAGCTGAGGGACAGCATCCAGGCCCAGAGTTCAGGCCCCACGACCAGACCCAAAAAACAAACAAACAAAAAATAAAATAAAAATATTGTAAGACAATTTAAAAGAGCAGATCAATCCTGCTTACAGACAGGCTTTCTCTAGATTGAAATCATCCAACTAGGTAGATTTGTATCATGCTGTTGGTGGATAGAGTCTTAATTAGTTGTCAAAGACATGTTCACTGAAAAAAAAGAGGAGAAAGCCCAGGTACAGGTAGCTCACGCCTATAATCCTAGCTACTCAGAAGACTTGAGTTCTGAGGATTGTAGTTCGAAACCAGCCAGGGCAAGAAAATCTGAGACTCATATTTCCAATTAACCACCAGAAAACTATAAGTGGTGCTGTGGCTCAAAATTGTAGAGTGCTAGCCTTGAGTGAAAAAGCTCAGGGAGTTCAAGCCCCATGACTGACAAAAAAGAAAAAAGAAGTCAGTGCCAGTGGCTCTTCTGAGGATCACGGTTCAAAGCCAGCCTAGGCAACAAAAGTCCATGAGACTCCTATCTCCAATAAACCACTAGAAAACGGGAAGTGGCGCTGTGGCTCAAGTGGTAGAGAGCTCTCCTTGAGCTGAAGAGCACAGGGACAGCGCCTAAGCCCAGACTTCAAGCTCTATAGCAAAGCTGAGTCCCTGTGCAAACTACATAATTTGTCCCTTTTCTGACTTGTGAGCATCCTCTATGTCCACCAAAATCAGAATGTTGAGAAATTTTAGATTTTTCTCTGTAGAAAGCAGATCATGGACCCTCCCTTCCTGGCAAGGAGGGTTTTGCCTGGTGCAGACACCAGGATGGTGATAGGAACTTAGGAGTACAGGTCAGTAATGAGTCACAGCATGAGAGGGCAGAAGGTAACAGCTTAGGTCACCTTGTCGGCCAGACATCTATCTAGATGTTTATGTGGAGACATTTTTAGATGAGATCCACATTTCAGTTAGTGGACTTTGAAGGACATGACCCTCCACAACACATGCACCTCAACTTCATAGATCAAAACCTGCAAAGAAGACTGGGGTTCTCAAAGAGATTATGCAGGTACTTGGCTGTCACTCAAACTGCATCTTCAGCTCCTCTTTGGGTATTCAGCCTACCCTGCCCTATAGAGTTTGGACATGCCAACTTAAAGTCAGGCTGTACCCTGCCCACCCCTAAACCCACTGGTTAAGTATTGAGTTGGAATTTAGAGGTATCAGTACGAACTGCATATATATATATATATATATAAACACAGAATTCAAAATAAGCTGTATGTGTGTATGTGCACGCGCCTGCGTACACATGTGCATACTCCATCAGAATCTATCACTGAGGATATTCTATATCAGGTAGCAGCCACTGGAGGACCCAAAGCCAGGCAGAACAGCACAATGAGCTTCAGTGCTGCTGTACCACAAAGCAGTGAGGTACCTGAACAATAGGCCACCCAGAACATGCTGGAGCCAGCAGGAACAAGAGCATCAGAAATGGTGGTGTTGATCTGTTATGTACAACCTAATTAAAGACAAGCACATATTAATACAAACCAGTTGGGGGGGTAGATTTCTTGGAGAAGAATGTCACCTAATAAATATAAGAGTAATGGACTGAGCCGGGCGCTGGTGGCTCACGCCTGTAATCCTAGCTACTCAGGAGGCTGAGATCTGAGGATCGCGGTTCAAAGCCAGCCCGGGCAGGAGAGACCGTGAGACTCCTATCTCCAATAAACCACCAAAAAACCGGAAGTGGCACTATAGCTCAAGTGGTAGAGCGCTCACCTTGAGCTGAAGAGCTGAGGGACAACGCCCAGGCCCAGAGTTCAAGCCCCACAACCGACAAAAAAAAAAAAAAGAGTAATGGACTGAGATACCATCTTACTCCAGTTTTAAACTGGCTAGTATTCTGAATTCAGACAATTCAGGTGGAAATGTGGAGAAAAAGGAGCCCTACTATACTGCTGGTGGGAATGTAAACTAATAATTTTTGAAAAGCAAAATATAACCTATATGCTTGTTGGACATAGAGGTCCAGATGTGTTCGATTTGGGGTCTCCTTTGCAGGTAATGTCCATCCTCCTGCATGGAGATGCTGCCTTTGCTGGCCAGGGTATCGTGTATGAGACCTTCCACCTCAGCGACCTGCCGTCTTACACAACCCATGGCACCGTCCATGTAGTCGTCAACAACCAGGTAACTCCCAAAGCAGTAGGTCGCCCTCCTGAGTATTCTGGTCATTTACATCATTCACTGTTTTGTGATTATAAAAATATATCTGTTGTTGGGGCTGGGAATGTAGCTTAATGCTTGCCTAGCATCTGTGAAGCCCTGGGATCGATTCCTCGGTACCACATAGACAGAAAAGGCTAGAAGTGACACTGCTGTGACTCAAGTGGTAGAGTGCTAGTCTTGAGCACAGAGGGGCTCAGAGACAGATCCCAGGCCCTGAGTAATCCTAGCTACTTGAAGCTGAGATCTGAAGATCTCAGTTCAAAGCTAGCTCAGGCAGGAAGGTTTGTGGGACTCTCATCTTCAGTTAACCACCAAAAGCCAATAGTGTGGGAGCTCTGTAGCTCAAGTGGTAGGATGTCAGCCTTGAGCGAAAACGTTCAGGAACAGCACCCAGACCCTGAGTTCAAACCTCATGACCAACAGAAAACAAAGAATATGTCCATCCATGGTAAAAGCTGCCACTTAGCCAGGCGGGTGGCTGATCCTAGCTACTTAGGAGACTAAGAACTGAGGATCAAGGTTCAAAGCCAGCCTGGGCAGGAAAGTCTCGAGTCTCTTTTTTTTGGCGGGGGGGGAGTTCTGGTCGTGGGGCCTGAACTCTGGGCCTAGGCGCTGTCCCTCAGCTCTTCAGCTCAAGGCTAGCACTCTACCACTTGAGCCACAGCGCCACTTCTGGCTTTTTTCTTTTTGCTTATGTGGTGCTGAGGAATCAAACCCAGGGCCTCAGGCATGCAAAGCAAGCGCTCTACCACTGAGCCACCTTCCCAGCCCCAGTCACAAGTCTCTTTATCTTTAGTTAATCACCAAAAAGTCCCTAAGTAGAACTGTTGCTAGAGTGCTAGCCTTGTACACAAAAGTTCAGAGATAGTAGTACCTAAGCCCTGAGTTCAAACTCCCTGTACTAACACTAAAAAAAAAAGATTTACTAAATGCCTGTTATGAGCCAGACCTCCAGGCACTTCATACACATTGACTTAATACATATAATCCAAAGGGGCTCATTTGTATGTACATACAATTCTCACTTTTCTGGGATATATATGTAGAAGTAGAATTACTGGATTATATGGTATCTTTCTGTTTAAGATTTTGTTTTTTGGTGAGTCTGGGAATTTTATGTACTAAGGAAGTAAGTGTAGCATTGAGCTATATCCCCAGTCCTATATTTAACTTTTTGAGGATCTGCCAGACTGTTTCCTTCAAAATAGGTAGGAGAGGAAGTGGTGCTATGTCTCAGGTGGTAGAGCGCTCGCCTTGAGCTGAAGAGCTCAGGGACAGTGCCTAGGCTCAGAATTCAAATCCCATGACTGACAAAACACACAGGCGCGCGCGCGCACACACACACACACACACACACACACACACACACACACACACACACACACACACACACACACACACACACACACACACACACACACACACACACACACACACACACACACACACACACACACACACACACACACACACACACACACACACACGGGATTGGGAATATCATGCATGAGGCCCTAGCCTTGAGCAGAAAAAGCACCCAGGCCCTGAGTTCAACCTCTAATATGGCAACAAACAACAACAACAAAAAAAACTTATTCAGTTAACAATTTTAGACCATCTAAGATTGGTCAGCTCCATTTGTTCTGCTCAACTCACAGCAAATGGCATCCTGGTAGAAGTAAGTGTGAGGAGAGCACGTGGTGAGACAGGAAGCCAGAAACAGGATCAGGATCAAGGGTACTTTCTTTGTCCTTCCCTCCCCCCTGCTTTTTTTCTAATAGTGTTTCACTCTTGCAGGAACTAACATGTAAAACTACATTCGTTCCTTTCATGGACAGCATCCCACTGACCCAAACATTTCCCAGTAGGTCCTATCATACTTAGACTTGTCTCTTACATTGCCACACCGAAGACCAAGCACCCCCAGCTCAGGAACCCTTGGAAGACAAACTATATACTAGCCCCAGCTGTGTTTTATTTCGATTCAGGTTGAATCATTTCTATTTTCTATCCTTCCTCATTCTTTCCTCTTTTTCCCCCTTATTCCTTAGAATGCCTCCATATAGTTTCCTTAGTTTTCAAATCCAAAATGTCCACTTGTTTCTTTTTTTAAGGCAGATTCTAACAGTGTAGCCCAGACTGGCTCAAACTGGTAATCTTCTGTTTCACCTTCCCAAGTGCTGGAATTACAAGCATATACCACCACACCCAGCTTGACTAATTTTTTTTTTTTTTGGGGGGGGGGGGTTCCGGTCATGGGGCCTGAACGCTGTCCCTCAGCTGTTCAGCTCAAGGCTATCGCTGTACCACTTGAGCCACAGCGCCACTTCCGGCTTTTTTCTTTTTGCTGATGTGGTGCTGACGAATCGAACCCAGGGCCTCATGCATGCAAGGCAAGCGCTCTACCATTGAGCCACCTTCCCAGCCCCAAAGCTTGACTCATTTTTATGTTTCCTATTTTTTACCTTTGTTTCAGTCATGTCCATGATTCTCACAGTTGAATTTTAATTGTTATTATAAAGCTGATGTACAGAGGAATTACAATTTGTTTTAGGAAGATATCATCCCTTCCCTTGCTCTGTCTCTCTCTTTCTCTGTTTCCCTCCCATTCCCACCCATACTTGCATAGTTCATTTTTAACGTAGTATCTAGTGAATACCATTGCTTCATTTGTTCACCCCAGAACAGTTTTCATGGTGGCTGCTTTAACATTCATCACATAATTCTGACATCTGTGTCTTCTCATTGCTGACATCAGGTGATGCTTCTCATTTAAGCTGAGATCATCCTGGTTATTGGTACAGCAAGTGACTTGCAAATGAAATGAGACACTTTTAGCACTCTGACTTAGATTCTGAATCTTCTTTTTTCATAAGTCCTTCTCTGTGGGGGACTAGGCTGACCACTTTGTCATCTTTTTTTTTTTTTTTTTTTTTGCTGGTCGTGGGGCCTGAACTCTGGGCTTGGGCGCTGTCCCTCAGCTCTTTAGCTCAAGGCTAGCTCCTCTACCACTTGAGTCACAGCGCCACTTCCAGCTTTTTCTGGTTATGTGGTGCTGAGGAATCGAACTCAGGGCCTCATGCATGCAAGGCAAGCACTCTACCACTGAGCCACCTTCCCAGCCCCACTTTGTCATCTTAAGTTGAGGGTGAGTCCAGGAGTGAGTTCCCCACTCCCATTTCTTTAGTACCTAGGGAAGAGCAGGATGCTTACTAACAGCTTGCTCCCTTATGGGGCCTCCTGTTGGCAGTCATACAATCCTGACTTTGCAGCTTCCTCTGATGTACCTCTTGCCAGCAAAGGGCTGGAATGCCTAATGACTTAATCACCACCTGTGGCAGCCTCAGCAGGACTTTGCGGACATTGTGAGGCTTTTTTTTTCTTTGTGGACTTTGGTTAGAGCTGAGCAGTTGTCCACACTGTTCCACTCTTCCTAGGCTGTTCTTTGTGTCCGTTGATGTTTCCAAGTGGCATTCAATGGACTATAACAAGGCAAAATGAAAACTCAAGCTGGGCTCTGTAATTCTAGCTACTCAGGAGGCTGAGACCTCATGATTGCAGTTCAGAAAACTGGAAGTGGGGGGCTGGGAAGGTGGCTCAGTGGTAGAGCGCTTGCCTTGCATGCATGAGGCCCTGGGTTCGATTCCTCAGCACCACATAAGCAAAAAGAAAAAAGCCGGAAGTGGCGCTGTGGCTCAAGTGGTAGAGCGCTAGCCTTGAGCTGAAGAGCTGAGGGACAGCGCCCAGGCCCAGAGTTCAGCCCCCATGACCAGACCCCCCCCCCCCAAAAAAAAAAAAGATACAGATTGACCTATTGTAACAGTGAGAGGTACAAGACACTATGTTGAAAACGAACTTTACAACTTGGGAGCATGGAGAGGAGTTGGGGAGGTGGAGAGGGAAGGGATGGTAGGGGAAGAACAAAGGAGGAGGTAACAATGCTTGATAGGAAATGCACTCAATACCTTACTCATGTAACTGTAACTCCTCTGTACAGTATTTCTACAATAAAAAATACAATTCTTTAAAAAAAAAAAAGAAAACTGGAAGTGGCACTATAGCTCAAAGTGGTAGAGTACTATCCTTGAGCAAAAAAAAGAGCTCAGAGACAGTGGCCAGACCTTGAGTTGAATCCCCATGACTAACAAAAAAGGAAAGAAGGAAGGAGGGAGGGAGGGAGGGAGGAAGGGAAAGAAAGGAAGGAAAGGAAAGAAAGAAAGAAAACAAAACCCAGAGAACGGAGGTCCCTAGTAATCTTTAGAGATTACATTGGTTCTACAGAGTTATCTGTTCTTAATAGAACCAGTAGGAAAGTACATGTATTCCATACAACAGCAGTGCAAGTCCCTATAGGAACTTTTTATAGGTAATAAACTCAGTTTCTTTAGTAAATGTAGGACTATTCCAACTAGGTGTCCTGAGCTCTGATTTTTTTGTTTTTTTAATCATGGAGCTTGAACTCTGGGCCTGGGCACAGTCCCTCAGCTCTTCAGCTCAAGGCTTCCAGTTTTCTGGTGGTTAATTGAAGATAAGAGTCACACAGCTGAGCACCGGAGGCTGAGATCTGAGGATCACAGTTCTAAGCCAGCCCAGGCAGGAAAGGCCATGAGACTCTTAATCTCCACCAGAAAACTGGAAATGGTGTTGTGGCTCAAGTGGTAGAGTGCTCCCCTTGAGAGCTGAGGGACAGCACCCAGGCCCAGAGTTCAAGCCTCAGACTGACCCAAAAAAAACAAAAATAAAAATTAATAATAATAATAACAGTTGCACAGACTTTCCTGTCCAGGCTGGCTTTGAACTGTGATCCTCAGGTCTCCGCCTCCTGAGTAGCTAGCATTACAGGCTTGAGCTACAGCGTTGGTTCAGTTTTCTGATGGTCAGTTGGAGATAAGAGTCCCATGGCTGGCTTGGAACCACGATCCTCAGATTTCAGCTTTCTGAGTACCTAGAATTACAAGCGTGAGCCACCAGTGCCTGGCTTCTGATCATTTCTTTTAAGAAATCGTGCTTCCTTTAGGTTATAGAATTTGGGGTATAATGTTTGTGCTACCTTTTCTAAAGTCTGTGGGCTCTAAGGTTTCTCATCTCTCATTCCTGACTTTGGAAATTTATGTCTTCTGATTTCTTCTGGTTAGACCTGCAGTAAATTCATTTTGTTTTTCTCTCAGAAACAGCAGCGATCTCACTACATTTCCCTCAGGAACAGCCATGATCATGCTGCATTTCTTCCTTTGCCTTTCCATTGCCTTTGATTCTTAACTTTGTGATTCCTTTCACTTCTATTTGCTTAGGGTTTAATCTTTTCTCCTTAGTTTCTTAGATTCTGGTTTGAGATACTCCTTTACAATATAAATGTTTAACGTGCCAGGGGATGGTGGCTCATGTCTATAATCCTAGCTACTCAGGAGGTTGAAATCTAATGATTGTGGTTCGAAGCCAGTCCATGCAGAAAAGCCCCCTTGAGATTTTTTTTTTTTTTGGGTCCAGTCGTGGGGCCTGAACTCTGGGCCTGGGCGCTGTTCCTCAGCTCTTCAGCTCAAGGCTAGCACTCTACCACTTGAGCCACAGTGCCACTTCCGGCTTTTTTCTTACGTGGTGCTGAGGAATCGAACCCAGGGCCTCGAGCATGCAAGGCAAGTGCTCTACCACTAAGCCACCTTCCCAGCCCCCCCTTGAGACTCTTACCTCCAGTTAACCACTCAAAAACTGGAGGTGGCGCTGTGGCTCAGGGACAGCAGCCAGGCCCTGAGTTCAAGCCCCACAACCAACAAAAAAAAAAAAAAAGAGGAGTAGAACATTTAACTTAAAAGTCACACTACAGGCACTAGGAAGGTGGCTCAGTGGTAGTGTTTGCCTTGCATTCATGAGGCCCTGGGTTCGATTCCTCAGTACCACTTAAGCATAAAAAAGCCAGAAGTGGTGCTATGGCTCAAGTGGTAGGGCGCTAGCCTTGAGCTGAAGAGCTGAGAAACAGTGCCTAGGCCCAGAGTTCAGGCCCCCGACCGACAAAAGCAAGGCAGGGTCTTGGTGAGGTATTCAGGGTAAATACAAGTGAGACTGCATCAGAATGCAGTGTTTGAAAACTGAAAAGGGATGACAGCCTGGCATGTGCCAGTGGGTAGCAATTAACACAAGCAGATCTCAGCTGCAGACAAAGCACCTCCAGCAATCAGACCTGTTCAGCAGGCAAACAGGCTCTTCCTCCTTAGAACTATTAGGTATGCATATACCTATATGTTTTCAAGGACACGGAAGCTCATAGGGCCTTCTCCTAAATAATGAAGACCAGATGGGTAACACTGGTTTAGTACCAAGTGATATTGTTCAGGCTCTTTAATGTTTCTTAGTGGTTTTATCAGTGTGAGAAGAGATACTGTAACAGCATTTTGACATGAATGTAGAATTCTTAGACCTCTCTAAAGAAAAATTTTTTAATATTTTCTTTTTCATTCCAATGTCAGGGCCTACTATATACTAGGCAGGCCCTCTACCACTGATGTGCCCAACCCCAGCCATCCACTAAGATATTCTTTTCTCTTTCCTATTTGACTCATTAGGAGTCAAGAAGGATGGGGTTGGGAAGATTCATACCAGGAGATGAAGTGGTAGCTTTACTGAGGCCCTCATTTCTCTTAAGACTGTAAGCATTAAGCCCACCTTTCGTCCTCAGCTCCACCCAGACCTGAGCTCCTCCCTGCCCTGGAGTTCCCACATTACAGCTGGCCCTCCTTCTCTCCACCCAAACCCACCTGAACTCCATCTACCTTACTTCCTATCCCCCCAGACCCTGCTGCTACCTATAGCGAAGACTGCCATGTGCTCTCTCTCCAGGAGAAATATGGCTCTTCTAATAAACCTTGAAATAATTTTTCTCCTGTGCCTGCCTGCCTGTGTGGTCCCCTGGCATGGATGTGATGGATCCTTTCATTGATCCTTTCAAAGACCATACTTAGAAATTCTCCTAGAGGCTGGGAATGTGGCTTGATGGTAGAATGCTTGCCTCGCATGCAGGAAGCTGTGGGTTTGATTCCTCACTACCACATACAACAGAAAAGCCAGAAGTGGCACTGTGGCTCAAGTGGTAGAGTGCTAGCTTTGAGCAAAAGAAGCTCAGGGATGGGCTGGGAAGGTGGATCAGTCGTAGAGTGCTTGCCTCGCATGCATGAGGCCCTGGGTTCAATTCCTTAGCACCATATAAACAGAAAAAGCCGGAAGTGGCACTGTGGCTCAAATGGTAGAGCGCTAGCCTTGAGCTGAAGAGTTGAGGGACAGCACCCAGGCCCAGAGTCAAGCCTCACAATGGACAAAAAAAAAGAAGCTCAGGGACAGTGCCCAGGCCCTGAGTTCAAGCCCCAGGACTGATACCAAAAAAAAAAAAAAAAAAAGGAGGAGGCTACAATGCTTGATAAGAAATGTACTCATTATCTTGCCCATGTAATTGTAACCCCTCTGTACAGTATTTTCACAATAATAAATAAATAAATGGGAAGGAAAGGAAGGAAGGAATTTTTCTAGAAATCTTTTGAATGAAAGCCAGCAGATGCTCAATATTACCATATAAGGTTAATCAGACCTGGCGTGGATGATGGATAGTTCATGCCTGTGATCCTAGCTGCTCAGGAGGCTGGGATCTTAGGATACAGTTTGAAGCCAGCTCAGTCAGGAAAATCTATGAGCCTCTTCTTTCCAGTTAACCAGCAAAAAGCTAGACGTATGGAAAGAAAAATGTCAAAATGTTTATACTATACTCTATAGAATTATCAGTAACTTTAATTTTATTTATTGCCTCTCCAAATTCTGTTTTAAACATACACAAACTTTTTTGTCAAAATAGAAAAAAACAAAAACAAAACTTTTAAGTTTTAAGAAGTCTAAATGGCCATTTGGGACACATACTCAGAGTAACCAAACAGGAAGTACAACCATGTCTAGCACTGTCTACACCCATAGGGCCCTAGGCCAGCCAGTCCAGGCACCCTCTTATCAAACCATATGTTTCTTACAGATAGGCTTTACCACAGACCCTCGGATGGCCCGCTCCTCTCCTTACCCTACTGACGTGGCCCGCGTAGTGAATGCCCCCATTTTCCATGTGAACGCAGATGACCCTGAGGCCGTCATGTATGTGTGCAAGGTGGCGGCAGAGTGGAGAAGCACCTTCCACAAGGACGTGGTTGTTGATCTGGTGCGTATTCCAGGGAGTGAGTCTCCAGGCAGAGCACCTGACCAACTACACCCCCTCTCCCCCCCCCCCCCCCCCACACACACACATACACACCCCATGTGTGTGCCCCGCCCTTGGCACCAGAGCCACCTTGGAGCTTTCTAAGAACCATGCCTCACAAGAGAACCCTCCAGCTCCAGAGTGTTTCGGCCAAGCCCACCCTGAATACTCCCCAGCCAGGAGCTGTATGGGTGAAGAGGGCCATTCATGGGCCTCCTCTGGTCCTGCCATGGACTGTATTGTCAGTGGTTCATATTCCTAAATCACTTTCCTCTGGTAAAACTACCCTGTTGCATAATGGAGGGAGACAGGAACTTAATTCTAGAGGAAATAAACTGAGGCAGCACAGACATGGGCATGTTGGCATTATGTAGACAAGATAAGGCAAGGACCTCACCTGTGTTTCTTTAGGGCCAGTTGTGATCTCTCACCTATCTCTTACTGCTCTGCTCTGACCAGGTATGTTACCGGCGCAATGGCCACAATGAAATGGACGAGCCCATGTTTACACAGCCACTCATGTACAAGCAGATCCGCAAGCAGAAGCCTGTGCTACAGAAGTATGCAGAGCTGCTGGTGTCACAGGGTGTGGTCAACCAGCCTGAATATGAGGTTTGTCCTGGCTGCAGAGCTGGGGAGGCCAAAGTCACCCAATCCTCACAATAATACCCAAGTGAAAGTCATCGAAATGCTTTAAAGGAAGTTGACCTTAAAGCAGTGTTTTTGGAGTATTCTGGGTATGGCTATGCAGTAAATTTCTCTTTTTTTTTTTTCTTTTCTTTTTTTTTTTTTTGTGCCAGTCCTGGATCTTGAACTCAGGGCATAGGCAGTGTCCCTGAGCTTCTTTTGCTCAAGGCTAACACCCTATCACTTGAGCCACAGTTCTACTTTCAGATGTTTTGGTAGTATAGTGGAGAATAAGAGTCTCACAGACTTTCCTGCCCAAGCAGGATCCTCACATCCTCAGATCTCAGTCTCCTGAGAGCTAAGATTACAGTCATGAGCCAGTGCCTGGCCAGTACATTTCTTACTTGGCCCGTCTTGTGGAGGTGAGAGGTGAGTAAAGGGTCCAGATTGGTAAAGGGCTCATGTGACCTGCATCAGAAGTCCTGACTAGATGAGGAGAATAGCCCATTTAGGCAGTATGTATTAAATGGAAACAGCTGCGGGAAGTGCAACTCTGGAGCCTAATCCTCCATGGCACATGGCAACTTTGAGACTGCACCAGGTCTGGTTTTTTCTTTGTTTTGGCGGTTAATTGGAGATAGAGGATCACAGACTTTCTTATCCAGTCTGGCTTTGAACTGCAATCTTCAGATCTCAACCTCCTAGGTGAGCCACCACACTTGGCAAGAACTGCACCAGTTCATAGGAAAGAATGTGAGAGTTGAACTCTGACTCTGTGCTGACTCTCTTGTATGAAAAGAACAGAAAGTTGTAGGCTTCTCCCAGTCTTAGAAAAGCAGTGCTGTGCATGTGGATGAGCATGGGAGGCCTGCAAGGCTGAGGGAGCCCAGAGGTATGGTGAGCTTGCACAGCAGGGTGTGCCAAACTAATCCATTGTGTGTGTGCTCCACCCCCAGGAGGAGATCTCCAAGTACGATAAGATCTGTGAGGAAGCATTCACCAGATCCAAAGATGAGAAGATCCTGCACATCAAGCACTGGCTTGATTCCCCCTGGCCTGGTAAGTAAGGAGACAAACCACAGATAGATTCCTTTGTGAATCTGATGGAACCATGAACCCTCTTCCCAGAAAAAAAAAAACTCCCACTGCCCCCTCCATGCTCATGGTGTACCATTTCAGTAAAGCTTGGTTATCCCCAGGTGCTCAAAGGGAGTCCGGTTCAGGTTGCATCATCTCTCACTCTGGATCTCCCCAAAGTTAGGTTTATGACAGTGAGGTTCCTAAATGTTCCAAATCAGGTGGCATGCCTCACCTTGTCCTTGCTGTTATAGGCTTCTTCACTCTGGATGGGCAGCCCAGGAGCATGTCCTGCCCCTCCACCGGCCTGGAGGAAGACGTTCTAGCCCACATTGGGAATGTGGCCAGCTCTGTGCCTGTGGAGAACTTCACCATCCATGGAGGTAACCCTAGGCTTGCCCACAGGAATGGTGGCCCAGCCCATGCCATGTGATGACTCCCCTGCCCAGCCCACCAGATGTACTAGTGGGCCCACCTCCTACAATCAGCCTTCAGCAAGATGTTGTGGCTCAAGTGACAGAGTGCTAAACTTGAGCAGAAGAAGTTCAAGTACAGTGCCCAAGCCCTGAGTTTAAAAACTGAGAGATCACCACTTTATATTAATCAGAAACTCCAGAGTGCCAAGAGTGTTGCTGGAGCATAGGAAATGAGGTAGCTGGGTGATCATTCCATTTCTCTGCAGGACTAAGCCGGATCTTGAAAACTCGAAAGGATCTAGTGACAAACCGCACTGTGGACTGGGCCCTGGCAGAGTATATGGCATTTGGCTCGCTACTGAAGGAGGGCATCCATGTCCGGCTGAGTGGCCAGGATGTGGAGCGGGGCACCTTCAGGTAACATTCAGGTTTTTCACCCTCAGAATCAGAGATGCAAGAGTGGGGAGTTCCCAGTATCTGTCTAGTCAAGTTGTACCCTTCTCCTGACTGTAAATACCCTGTTAAGCACGGGGCAGGCTCAGCCCACATCTGGCAGGAAGCCTGGTTGTTGCCATGGACCTTTTGCTACTTGCCAAGAGATCCTCAGCAGTTTGCTGAGAGATCTGCATTCCTGTTTATCCTGTTGTTCTACCTCAGCCACCGGCACCATGTGCTCCATGACCAGAATGTGGACAAGAGAACCTGCATCCCCATGAACCACCTTTGGCCCAATCAGGCCCCCTACACTGTGTGCAACAGCTCATTGTCTGAATACGGTGTGCTGGGTGAGTGCCCACCCCAACCCACCCACTCCTGCCACTGTCTACTCCCCTAGTGTCTCCTGGATGACTTCCTTTCTCTTCTATCTTTCATAGGCTTTGAGCTGGGCTTTGCCATGGCTAGCCCAAATGCCTTGGTCCTCTGGGAGGCCCAATTTGGTGACTTCAACAACATGGCCCAGTGCATCATTGACCAGTTCATCTGCCCAGGACAGGCCAAGTGGGTGCGACAGAATGGCATTGTGCTGCTGCTCCCTCACGGCATGGAGGGCATGGTGAGCTCCTGCCCTCCCCCGCCCTCACCCCCAAAAAGACCCAGAACCTAGAAACCCTGCCCCAAATCCTGAGGGTTCTGATGGTGCCTCTTACTCATCTGGATGCCACTTGCATGCCTAAACTTGGATAAATATCAGGTGGTACTCATGCAGCCCTCAGGCATCCCAAGAATATGGGCTCCCTCACTTCCCTGCTCTGCCTGTCCTGCCCTTTGTTGTTGAGGAGGGGAGCAATTGAATGAATGACATCATAGGAAGAAAAATCAGAAAAAAAGCAAACTAGAGAACAGCTCCAGCAGAAGCAGCAGAGGGCATTGTATGAGAGTTCCCAAACTAAATTCGTTTTATTAACTTTTTGTTGTTGTTGTTTTTGTTGGTCGTGGGGCTTGAACTCTGGGCCTAGGCACTGTCCCTCAGCTCTTCAGCTCAAGGCTAGCAGTCTACCACTTGAGCCACAGCACCACTTCCAGCTTTTTCTATTTATGTGGTACTGAGAAATCGAACCCAGAGCCTCATGCATGCGAGGCAAGGACTCTACTACTGAGCCACCTTCCCAGCCCCACTTCCATTTTTCTATTGGTTTATTGGAAACAAGAGTTTCACGGACTATCTTGCCTAGGCTGGCTTTGAACTGCGATCTTCAGATCTCAGCCTTCTGAGTAGCTAGGATTACAGGCATGTGCCACTGGCACCCGGCTTGCCAAACTAAATTATTTGTGTATGTTTGCTTCCAGGGTCCAGAACACTCCTCAGCCCGTCCAGAGCGATTCCTGCAGATGTGCAATGATGACCCAGATGTCCTACCAGTAAGTAGAGCAGACCCTGTTGCCTAGCTATGCTTGGGACCCTGAGGAGGGTGGTCCATCTAGATGTCCTGAGAAGTCAAATATCTGCTGGCCCTTCCTCTGTAGACCAGGGTAGCCTACACCCACTGATCTCCTTGAAATGAAAGACTTCCTCAGGACCTAGAATATAAAAGTAGAGGATTGCTTCTATTTGCTTCTTGCTGTTTCTGTCCTGTGGCTGGTTTTCTGGTTCAGGCAAATACTGTGAAGGAGAGATCTCCTGGGCATTTTAAAGGATGGAAGAAAACTATTGGGACTCAGTATCTAAAATGAGAATTGGCTTTAGGCAATTCTTAAAAATGCTATCAATTCCCTGCCAGACTGTAGCTTTATGTATTTTAGAAGGGTTAAGACTTGAAATACAAATACCAGCTGCTTCCTCCACTCTTGGAGGGTGGAACTTCCTGAAGCCCTCACCCCCATATGGCAGTGTGCTCAGTGCTGCCACCTGGCCTCTGGCCCTTCCCTTCTGCACTTGCAGGACCTGCAAGAGGCCAACTTTGATATCAATCAGCTATATGACTGCAACTGGATTGTTGTCAACTGCTCCACTCCTGGCAACTTCTTCCACGTGCTACGACGGCAGATCCTGCTGCCCTTCCGGAAGCCGGTCAGTAGTAGAGTCTCTCTACCCTGACCAGTTCTGGCCTCAAAATGACCTGGGGTCCCACCTTGCTGTATTGGCACCAAGAAGCCTCCCATCCCCTCACCCCAGTGCCACCTACTTTAGAGTAGCTGGCCCCTGAGGGAGGCTATGAACAGGATGTGGTGTCAAGGACCTGGACTCCCTTGACTGCTAATACTGGAGAACTGTGTTCTTGCCCCATAGCCCAGTCCTCCCATGCCACTGAGCATTATGGGGAGAACAGGTGTGTAAGCTGCAGACTAAAAGAAAGGTAAGCCCTGGCCAGGGCCAAGGCAGAGAAGGGGGCCCCAAAAGCAACTTCTGAGCTACGTGTTGAAGGATAAGTAGAAATTGGGTAGGAGGCAAGTGGAAAAAGTGGTCGAAGAGGCCGGACACAGGTGGCTTATGCCTATAATCCTAGCTACTCAGGAGGCTGAGATCTGAGGATCGAGATTCAAAGCCAGCCTGGGCAGGAAAGTTTGAGAGACTCTTATCTCCAATAAACCACTGAAAAACTGGAAGTGGCGCTTTGGCTCAAGCAGTAGAGCACGCTCTTTGAGCTGAAGAGCACAAGGACAGTGCCCAAGCCTAGAGTTCAAGCCCCATGACCTAAAAAAATAGTGGTCCAAGAGTAGGACAGATTGGGCTGAGAAATTGGCTCAGTGGTAGAGTGCTTGCCTCGCATGCATGAGGTCCTGGGTTCAATTCCTCAGTACTACATAAGCAGAAAAAAGCCGGTAGCGGCGCTGTAGTTCAAGAGTAGAGTGCTAGCCTTGAGCTGAAGAGCTGAGGGACAGTGCCCAGGCCCAGAGTTCAGCCCCATGACTGACAAAAAAAAAAAAAACAGTAAGACAGTATGGAAGAGCTCTGTTCACTACTAGCAGTGGGTACATGACTGAAGCTTGCAGCTGTGTCCCTGGCAACCTGCAGATTCACATCATCACCCATGACAGGATAGTCCTCCTAGTGTTGGACCTTGTCACAGCCTTAGACAGGCTGAGGGTATGTGTGTTTAAGACCACCTAGCAGTTGCTCAGAAGCTACCAGGGAGAGGCTTGCCTCCCTTCTTGTTGGGTGGCCCTTGTTTTTTATCATCCCTCTAGATTTCCTTTGGTGGTACTGGAGTTTGGACGCCAGGCCTTTTGTGTTTTTCTAGGCAGGAGCTCTACCACTTGAGCCCCATCTCCAATGTAAACCCCACCCCGCAATTCCCTATCATGAAGATCCATGGGCATAATAGTCTGTCTTTCAAGCTAGCTGCCATTGGCTCAGGCTGAGATTTAAAGATCCGCGGTTTGAAAGTTCAAGAAAGTCTGTGAACCTCTCATCCAATTAACCACTAAAAAAGCCAGAAGTGGATTTGTGGCTCAAGTGACTCAACACTAGCCTTGAGCAAAAGGAACTCCAGGACAGTGCCTAGGTCCTGAGTTCAAGCCTCAGGGCCAGCACACACACACACAAAAATTCTGTCTTTCAGTTAATCATCTTCACTCCCAAATCCCTCCTGCGCCACCCTGAGGCCAGAACCAACTTTGATGAGATGCTTCCAGGTAGGTTTGGGGGAGGAGCATTTGCTGGGAGGACCAAAATTTGGGGCCTCTTTACAGCTCTGAGGGCTTGCTTATAGGGCTTGTATTTATGGCTTTTGCCAAATTGTAGGTCATGGGTAAAAGACCTGTGGACTGTTGCCTTTAGTCTGTGAATACCTTCAGGATTATGTTAGAGACACTTGAGTCTCAAGTTACAAGGTGGGGTTGCTGCCATAGTCAGCCCTGGCCGAATGTGACAGCAGCTTACCTTAAGCTCAGAACAGAGGAAAAGACATTAGGAGGCAGGACCTCCACGTAACACAACTCTACTGCTGTGAAGGGACACTGTGGCTTGAGATTCCCATGTGCATGTCCCATGGTGACAAGCAGGTGCTGGCACAGCCATGCTGACCACTTCCTCCCATGTTTATTTTCTGTATGTGTCTGTGAATACAAAATCTATCATCTTCACCACTTTTTAGTATGTAGTTCATCCTAAAATGTATGCACATAGTTCAGCATCCATCTCTAGGACTCCTTCCACTGACCCCCTACACACATATGCAGACACATGCATACACACTCGTATACAAAGCAACCTACTTAGAAGCATTCTACTTCTAAGTACAGTCATAGAGTAGAGCTGACTGTCCTTTCTGAGATACTTGGGCCCAGAAATGTTTTAAATGACAAGGGTTATTTTTCTTGCAGGTTTTGGAATATCTGCATGCGTGCGTGCGTGCATGCATGCATGCATGTGTGTGTGTGTGTGTGTGTGTGTAATCTCAAATGGAACCCAAGTGTGTGTGTGAGAGAGGAAGATATCTCAGATGGAACCCAAATTTAAACACAAAATTCACTTACATTTCATAAAGTCAAATGTGTTTTTTTTAAGTAGCATATCAACACTCAAAAAGTTTTCAGAGGGCTGGGAATGTGGCTTAGTGGTAGAGTGCTTGCCTAGCATATATGAAACCCTGGGTTTGATTCCTCAGTATCACATACACAGAAAAAGCCAGAAGTGGCGCTGTGACTCAAGTGATAGAGTACTAGCCTAGAGTGTCTAGGCCCTGAGTTCAAGCCCCAGGACTGGCAGAAAATAAAAAATAAAAGTTTTCAGAGCCAGGTGCCAGTGGCTTACACCTATAATCCTAGCTACTAAGAAGGCTGAAATCTGAGGATTACAGTTTGAGGCCAGCTCAGGCATCAAAGTCTGTAAGACTGTTATCTCCAGTTAATCACAGAAAAAGCTGGAAGTAGCACTGTGGCTCAAGTGGTAAGAGTACTAGCCTTGAGCAAAAGGATCTCAGGGACAGCACCCAGGCCCAGAGTTCAAGCCCCAGAACTGGCAAAAAACAAAAAAGTTTTCAGATTTTGGATTTTAAAAAGTAGTAATGCTGAACTGGGAAGTAGCTCTCAGTGGCAAAGCACTTGCCTAGCAAGTGCAACATCCTGGGTTTGATCCTCAGTACCAAAAGAGAAAAGACAAAAAATAATACAGTTCTTTAAAAAAAAAAATAGTGATGCTAGCTGGGTGCTGGTGGCTCATGCCTGTAATCCTACCTACTCAGAGGCTGAGGTGTGAGGATCGAAATTAAAAACCAGTCCAGGCTGGAAAGTCTCTGTGAGACTCTTATCTCCAATTAATCACCAGAAAACCAAAAGTGGCACTGTGGCTCAAGTGGTAGAGCACTAGCCTTGAGCTGAAGAGCTCAGGGACAGCGCCCAAGCCCAGAGTTATTTCACTTAATATAATGTCCTCTAGGTCCATGATACTCAACAGTCATAGCTTTCTGCCTTTTTTTGGGGGGTCAGACCTGGGCCTGAACTCTGGGCCTGGGCGCTGTCCCTCAGCTCTTCAGCTCAAGACTAGCACTCTACCACTTGAGCCACAACACCACTTCCCGTTTTCTGGTGGTCACGTACCTTTCTGCCCAGGCTGACTTTGAACCGTGATCCTCAGATTTCAGCCTCTTGAGTAGCTAGGATTACAGGCATGAGCCACCAGCGCCTGGCTTGAATTAATTTTTGTAAATGATGTTAAGGTCCTAAAATCTCTCTTGTATGGAGGTTTCCAGTTTTTCAGCACTGTTTTTCAGAGAGACTGTATTTTCCCATTGAATGCCTTGCTTCTCTGGTGGACAACAAGCCAGATGTGAAAGCTTACTCCGGAGCTCTCTATGCTGTTAATCTATCTTTTCTATATGAATGACACTTGTTTTGATTACTGTAACTTTGTTGTAGGTTACAAAATTAGAAACTGATTCTGGTGATTTTATTATTACTTTTTGTTGTTGTTGGTTGTGGGGCTTTAACTCAGCCTGGGCACTGCCCCTGAGTGCTTTTGCTCAAGAATAGTGCTCTACCATTTTGAGCCATAGTACAACTTCTGGTTTTTGAGTGGTTAATTGGATATAAGAGTTTCACAGGGACTTTTCTTCCCAGGCTGGTTTCAAACCACAGTCCTCAGATCATAGCCTCCCGAGTAGCTAGGATTACAGACATGGGCCACCCAGCCTCCAGTGATTTTTACTTTATTTACCTTGGTGGTATTTTTTTTTTGGGGGGGGGTGGAGGGGGGTCCGGTCGTGGGGCCTGAGCTCTGGGCATGGGCGCTGTCCCTCAGCTCTTCAGCTCAAGGCTAGCGCTCTACCACTTGAGCCACAGCACTTGGTGGTATTTCTTAAGGTTTGTTTGTTTTTTAAGTTGAATCATGTGTGTCTGTGTGTGTCTAGTGTTCCTAGGGCTTGAACTTGGAGCCTTGACGTGGTCCCTGAGCTTTTTTGCTCAAGATTAGCCACCACTTGAGCCACACTTGCACTTCCTGCTTTTTTTTTTGGGGGGGGGGGGGGGAAGGGTCCATCGTGGGGCTTGAACTCTGGGCTTGGTGCTGTCCCGGTGCTCATCAGCTCAAGGTGAGCACTCTACCGCTTGAGTCACAGCGCCACTTCCGGTTTTCTAGTGGTTTATTGGAGATCAGAGTCTCACAGACTTTTCTGCCCGGGCTGGCTTTGAACTGTGATCCTCAGATCTCAGCCTCCTTAACTAGGATTATAGGCATGAGCTACTGGCACCTGGCTACTTCTGGCTTTTTGATGGTTAATTGGAGAGTTTCAGGGACTACCCCAGCTGGTTTTGAGCTGAAATCCTCAGATCTCAGTCTTCTGAGCAGCTAGTATTACAGACATCATCCACTTGTACTCAGCTTTGGAATCATTTTCTTTTTTTTTTTTTGAGTCTGGTCGTGGGGCCTGAACTCTGGGCCTGGGCGCTGTCCCTCAGCTCTTCAGCTCAAGGCTAGCTAGCACACTACCACTTGAGCCACAACACCACTTCCGGCTCTTTTCTTTTTTGCTTATGTGGTGGTGAGGAATCGAACCCAGGGCCTCAGGCATGCAAGGCAAGCGCCCTACCACTGAGCCACCTTCCCAGCCCCTGGAATCATTTTCTTAATTTCAGATTTTCCATTGCTGGTGTCTAGTTGCATCTGACTTGTGCACTGCTTTTTGCATCCTGCTACTTCGCTGCATTTGTAATTCTAACAGGCTTTTAGTGGTGCAGTGCTCAGAATTTTCTAATTATGGGATCCTGTTGTCTATGAACAGAGGTCATTCTGTTTCTTTTTTCTTTCCTGGTAGTACTTCTGGTACTACAAGAATGAACATCCTAGATTTATTGTGGACCTTAGAGGAACAGATTGCACTCTTTCATCATTGTTATTCTTGCTATGGTTTTCATCTGTGATTTTCATCATATTGAGATTTGAATTTTCATCAAATAAGCCCCTTATGTTGGCATTGATCCCATTGTTATCATAGACATCTATCTTAATACTCTCTATTACAGTGAGTCCTCCAGTTGAAAGGTTTTGGAGGTTTTTTGTTTTTGTTTTGTTTGTCGGGCCTGGGGCTAGAACTCTGGGCCTGGACTCTGTCCCTCAGCTCTTCAGCTCAAGGCAAGCGCTCTACCACTTGAGCCACAGCGCCACTTCCATTTTTCTGGTGGTTAATTGGAGATGAGTTTCATAGACTTTCCTTGCCTGGTCTGCCTTTGAACCAAGATCTCAGCCTTCTGAGTATAGGATTACAGGTGTGAGCCACCTGTAAATTCATGAGGAGTATGAGTGGAGTAGCTATGTTTTGACATAATTAATTGTTCCTAAAGTCTGCAATGGGCTGTTAACAGAATAACCTGCTCTATCCTGGTCTTGCCCTATCTCCTGTGTATTAGTGTGGTTTTTGTTTTGTTTTGTTTTGTTTGTACTGGGCCTTGAACAACTTAGAGCCTTAGCACTGTCCCAGTTTTTTTTTCTCAAGGCTAGTGCTCTACCACTTTGAGCCACAGCACCACCTCTGATTTTCTGTTGGTTAATTGGAGATATGATCCTTACAGGGACTTTTCTGCCCAGGCTGGCTTCAAACCACGATCTTCAGATCTCAGCCTCCTAAGTAGCTAGGATTACTGATGTGAACCACCAACACCCAGCTTTTATGTGCTTTTTAAAGTGCCCTAGGCTGGCTGGGGAGGTGGCTCAGTGGTAGAGTGCTTGCCTTGCATGCATGAGGCCCTGGGTTCAATTCCTTAGCACCACATAAGCATTAAAAAAAAAGCCAGAAGTGGTGCTGTGGCCCCAGTGGTAGAGTGCTAGCCTTGAGCTGAAGAGCTGAGGAACAGTGCCCAGGCCCAGATTTCAAGCCCCACAACTGACCAAAAATAAAAATAATAGTAATAAAGTGCCCTTGGCCACTAACCTTGAGCAGAAAAGCTCAAGGACAGCACCTAGACCTTGAGTTCAAGTCCCAGGACTAGCACCAAAAAATAAAAAGGAGGGAAAAAGAAAAAGTGTTCTTGGCATTAATGACTTCAGAGGCAGATGAGAGCTGAGCTTGCTCTAACCCTTGAAACCCACATGCCCTGGACAACAAATGGTACCATTGTCTCATGGTTTCCCAGTTCACACACAGCAGCAGTGCAGTAGGGCATGAAGAGAGAACCAGCCTAACCATGGGGATTCTCTTGTAGGAACCCATTTTCAACGTGTGATCCCAGAAAATGGCCCTGCGGCTCAGAACCCAGACAAGGTTGAGAGGCTCCTCTTCTGCACTGGCAAGGTGTACTATGACCTTACCCGTGAACGCAAAGCCAGGGGTATGGAGGAGCAGGTGGCCATAACAAGGATTGAGCAGGTGAGGGCCCATGGCATAGCCTCTGTGTGGAATCCCTCCTAAGGCTGTTGAACCTCTAGTATCTTGGCAGAATTACTGCCAATACTGCCTTTTTGAGAATACCAGTCTCCCCTTGCTCAGCTTCCATTGACCTGACTCCTGCTCTCTCCAGCTGTCACCATTCCCATTTGACCTCCTGCTAAAGGAAGCACAGAAGTACTCCAATGCTGAGCTAGCCTGGTGCCAGGAGGAACACAAGAACCAAGGCTACTATGACTATGTGAAACCCAGACTCCGGACCACCATTGACCGTGCCAGGCCCGTATGGTAAGGCCTCTGTCCCTAACAAGTAGGTATGCTGGACGGGAGCAGGTGGCCCACTCACTGACCACCCCCCTATCTCAGGTATGCTGGCCGAGACCCAGCAGCTGCTCCAGCAACTGGCAACAAGAAAACCCACCTGACAGAGCTGCAGCGCTTCCTGGACACAGCCTTCGACCTGAACGCCTTCAAGAAATTCACTTAGATGCTCCTGGGGTTACTCAGGCCATGGTCTGCCCCCCATGCCCATGATGCCCTTTGCTTCTCAACTAAAGAATAGTGCCTCGGCGCTGCCACCCTCTGCCCCTCGCTATGCCTCACATTGTCCCCTGCTCATAGCAATTAGGCTCTTGTCCCCTTGCTTGGTTGCGCCCCAGGCCAGATGCTGCCAGCCTGTCTGATTTGTGTCAGGCTGAGCAGCTTTCATGGAGGCAGGCCTTGAGGAGCAGGAACCTCTGCAGGACAACTTGGGAAAGATCAACTCTGGCCACCACCCTTCATCTTGTGATCCTCCGAGGCAGGAGCAGAGCCTCGTGGCTGCCTGGTGCTCCTCCTTGTCACCCAGCAAGGCACAGATCCAGGACTAGGAGTAGCTTCATCGAGCTAGCAGGGTGGGCCTCAGCTTGGGGGTGTGGAGGATAACAGGTCTAGGCCTTCTCTTCTGCCATGTTAAGGTCCTGGTTTTTGTGTGGTCAGGGTGCCCTACCCATCCCACCGGGGCTACTCAGCCCCTGGAGCCTGTAGGCTCTATGTGGAGCACAAAAGCTCCCTTGGATTCCACAGCTGGGGCACTGGCTGTCCCTTGTGGTCCTTCTGACTCCTCACCTCCTCTAGTCCCCCAGCCGCCCTCCCCCCAACTTTCTGCTGTTCCTTTGAGCGCAATGGAGACTTTTGATGCATCCTCTTTGCTGTGCCAAAGCAGGTCAGAAACAGGAGAAGGGTAGGTGAGGCAGGGTAGGCCAAGGGGCCAGCTGCCCTTCATCCCTCACTTTGACCTTCACAGGGACAGATCTGATTTATTTATTTTGGATAAAAAAAAAGAAAAAGAAATAACTTTGCATTGCATTGGCTTGACCCATAAACTAAGTTATCCATGACTCGTGTGCTGTCACTCTGTGTTTCCAACTTCTCTCCAGGTAACGGGCTCAGCTAGGCTCTGCCATCCCCTCCCCACCCTGCCACACAGATCACCCCACATCCTTCTACACCCTCACGTCATCATAAGCAGATTACGCTTGCATGCAGCCTGTGGCTAAGTTTGTTTCACATCCTTGCAACCCATTCCTCTAGGAAGGGTGTTCTGCACTCTGCCCATCCATATTTGAGCTAGCATGCCTGGTGGGTTTGGAAGTTTTTTGCAATACTACAGTGTGAACTCAGGTTTTCATCCCTTGCTAAGCAGGCACTCTGACATTTGAGCGATACCCCAGCCCTTTTTGCTTTCATTATTTTTTTAATAGGATGTCCCATTTATGCCCCAGCAGCCTTGTCTGCAATTCTGAGTAACTGAGATGGCAGGTGTATATCATAGCACTCAGCATTTTTATTGGTTGAAATGAGGTCTTTCACTGGCTTCCAGCCACACTCCCTAGATGGTTGCCTCCCAAGTAGCTAGAATTATAGGCATGAACCTCTGCACCCAATCCTAATAGGCTTGTCTTAATGACAGTTACTGGCTAGTGTCCCTCCAAACAACTCATCCAACCTGGAGATGAGACCCTATAACCAGCACAGGCCCGTTGGCCACACCAGGGGCCCACTATTTTTAGCTCATATTGAGTCAAGTGCTGGCCTTCTGGGGGTAGGACTTCAGTCACACACCTGCCAGTACTCATGCCATTAACACCTTTGGAAGCTTTCTATTTCCACTCCCCCTGCCCTTCCCCCTATCTCCAATATAGCAAGGCTTGAGGGTTTTCTCATTACACCACTGGCAACCAGTGCCAGCCAGGGCAGGTCCTGGGGTGGTAAGACCTACCCTCATACCCAGAACTGCAAAGGGTAGAGCACTCCTGTGCATCTGCCTGCAGTCACCACACTCCCACACCACTATGGTCCACTGTGTGTGTGGGGGGGGGGGGGGGAGGCAGTGAGTGAGAGCTCACTGAACTGCCCTGGAGTTGGGAAGGTGCCTCACTGCGTCACCATCACCAGGAACGGCCACAGCCTGGTAAGCCAGCTTTTACTGTTGCATACACAAACAGGCAGGATGTGTACAGAAGCCAGCAGTATGGAGAAAGGGAAGAGGACTCTAACCTTGTGTCTGCTGGTTACCCTAGGCTCCTTCCCTTCAGGGTGCAATACCACGGTCCCCTGAACCACAGGTCCTATCTTGGTTTTCCAAAACCCTCAAGGGCTCCTTCAGTGCCTCTCCCACTACCTTACCACCCAGCATGTCTTTGCTGCATGTGGCTCTTCAGAGAGCCAGCCATTCACGCAAAGTTCCTCAACACAATCGCTGGAAGTTATAGCAACCCTCTCTCCTAGCCCCCAACACAGAACTGTCCCCTTTTGCCCATAGTAACCTCTTGAAGCCGTGAAACAGTGCTGGCTCCTTTAGAACCTGGAACCTGGCTTCTTAGAAGTGTGTGCTGCCCTTGTTCATCATGGCTCTGCAGCAGAAAGATGGTGGCTCTGCTCCTTGCTTTGTTGGCCATTATCCTTTTTTTTTTGCTTATGTGGTGCTGGGGAATCAAACCCAGGGCCTCATGCATACAAGGCAAGTGCTCTACCACTGAGCCACCTTCCCAGCCCCTATCCTTTTTTTGATTCAGTCCTGGGCTTGAACTTGGCCTGGGCACTGTCCCTCAGCTCTCTACCACTTGAACCACAGTGCCACTTCTAGTTTTCTGGTGGTTTATTGGAGATAAGAGTCTCACCGACTTTCCTTCCCAGTCTGGCTTTGAACCTCAGTCCTCAGACCTCAGCCTCCTGAGTAAAGCTACAGGTGTGAGCCACCAGCGCCCCACCCAATATCCTTATAGTGGCCACCTAGGACTTGTCACATTTGCGTTCTGACAGAACCTTAGATACTCTGATATGCCAAACTCACTGGTTAGTCATTGTGTGTGTGTCTGTGTCTGTGTGTCTGTGTGGTGTGTACTGGGGCTTAAGCTCAGGGCCTTGAGCTCTTGTCTTTTTTTCACTCAAGGCTGGAACTCACTGGAGCCATACCTCTACTTCTGGTTTGGTTGCTGGTTAATTGGACATTTCTGCCAGATCAGCTTTTCTTCTGTTGTCAGTCACAGGGCTTGAAGTTGGCCTGGACACTGTCCCTGAGCTTTTTGGCTCAAGGCTAGCATCCTACCACTTTGAGCCTCAGAGTCACTTCTGGTTTTCTGGTGGTTAATTGGAGATAAGTTTCACTGAATTTCCAGCCCAAGCTGGCTTCAAACCACTATCCTCAGATCTCAACCTTCTGAGTAGCTAGAATTACAGGCAGGAGCCACTAACCAACTGTCCCTGACTTTGGGAAGTGCTACAGACATTAGGTAATGGGAAGATATACTAAGTAGAGTAACTGGGAGACCAGACAAGGCAACACAACGCATACATATGTATTCATGCAGACCATCTGACACTAGCACGGCTTCAGCCTACACACTTGGAGGGGGAGTGGTTACTGGTGCTCCCCAGGCATTGGGCTAACATGATCTGGAGGTATGGAGGAGGCATGCCCTGACTTCCAGTGGCCTCTCAGCTTCCTTCCTATACTCTAGGAGCCACACCCACAATCCCATGCTTCATTGGTCACATTGTTGGCCACTTCAGGGCCACCATTCAGCCCAGCATGGATGGAGAACCTGGGCTCAGGGACAGCTTAGTGGGGGTGGGAGGGGCATCTCCACTTAGTGGAGTCTGGTGAAGCCAGCAAAGGAGACCCGATGATCTCTGTCTAGCCTGCATCATCTAGATAGCAGTCAGCCCATGGCCCACAGACCAAGGGCTCTCCTGAAGCCAGTGGTCAGAAAGGAAAACTGAGCAGATAATAAAGCCAGTGTTTGTCTCAATACACAGTGTATTGCTGGTGATCTGCCCCAGGTGTGGTTTCCAGGCATTTGTAGGAACTGAGCTGGGTGAGTTGTGTAGGTTCTGCCTGCTTTCCCTTCTACTGCCTTCATCAATTAAGTCCAAGCCAGCATGCACTGAGTGCCTAGGATGGACCAGAGCCAGGTCAGGTGGGCCTTAGACATCGAGGTCCTAGTGGCTAGAAGGGACAGCCCTGAGAGAAACTCATTTCATCTGGGGAGCAGTCAGTTGGGCATGGAGGGCAGCTAATGTCTGTCCTTGCCTTGAAGGTGGGTTGCCTGACTCAGGTCTTCAGAGATTTAGAAGCTAATGGAGATGATGTCCACAGTGTGGCCACATAAACCAGGAGCATAATGACTAGGTGCAGACAAGAGTGGATGGACAGAAAAGCAAAGGGAGGAATGAGTGACCCAGGGAGTGCATGGGTGTTGGTGCCACCCATTTTCACTGTGGAAACTCAGGCAGCAGGTTGTAGGGTTAATGGGACAGGACTCATGAATACCAAAAGTAAAATACATTCAATATAGGAGCATGCCAGATGTTGGTGGTTTATGCTTGCAATCCTAGCTACTCAGGAGGCTGAGAGGTGAGGATTGTAGTTTGAAGCCAGGCCTGGCAGGAAAGTCTGTGAGACTTTTGTCGCCAGTTAACCACCAGAAAACCAGAAGTGCACTATGGCTCAAAGTGGTAGAGCACTAGCCTTGAGCAAAAAGGGACACTGCCTATAGCCTGAGTTAAAGCCTCACAACCACCACCAACAACAAAAGGCAGTTCAAGTCCCAGTGGCTCATGTTTGTAATCCTAGTACCCAGGAGGCTAAGATCTGAGGATTGTACTTCAAAGCTGGCCCCGGGCAGGAAGTCCATGGGACTTTTTTTTTTTTTTTTTTTGTCAGTCGTGGGGCTTGAACTCTGGGCCTGAGCACTGTCCCTCAGCGCTTCAGCTCAAGGCTAGCGCTCTACCATTTGAGCTACAGTGCCACTTCTGATTTTCTGGTGGTTTATTGGAGATAAGAGTTTCACGGATTTTCCTGCTGGGGCTGGCTTTGAACCTGGATCCTCAGATCTCCGCCTCCTTAGTAGCTAGGATTACAGGCATGAGCACCAGTGCCTGGCTCCATGAGACTCTTATCTCCAAGTAAACACCAAATAGCCTGAAGCTGAGCTGTGGCTCAAGTGGTAGAGTGCTGGTCTTGGGCAAAATGCTCAGGGATAGTGCCCAAGCCCTGAGATAGTACCCCAGGACATGCATCTTACCCCCCCCCCCCCAAAAAAAGCTGGCAGTTGTAGTACACTTTATCTTATATAATATTTTCTTCAATGGATATGTATTAATACATATACAACTACTTGGGCTTGAACTCAGTCTTAACGTTCTCACTCAAGAATGGTACTCTAGGGCTGGGAAGGTGGCTCAGTGGTAGAGCGCTTGCCTTGCATGCATGAGGCCCTGGGTTCAATTCCTCAGCACCACATAAGCAGAAAAAGCCAGAAGTGGCGCTGTGGCTCAAGTGGTAGAGTGCTCGCCTTGAGCTGAAGAGCTGAGGGACAGCGCCCAGGACTAGAGTTCAGGCCCCACGACCGGACCCCAAAAAAACAAACAAAAAAAAAGAATGGTACTCTACCACTTGAGCCACATTTCCACTTCTGGCTTTTTGCTGGTTAAGATAAGTGTGTCTCAGGCCGGGCGCCGGTGGCTCACGCCTGTAATCCTAGCTACTCAGGAGGCTGAGATCTGAGAATCGCGGTTCAAAGCCAGCCCAGGCAGGAAAGACCGAGAGACTCCTATCTCCAATAAACCACTAGAAAACCGGAAGTGGCATTGTAGCTCAAGTGGTAGAGCGCTCGCCTTGAGCTGAAGAGCTTAGGGACAGCGCCCAGGCCCAGAGTTCAAGCCCCGTGACCGACAAAAAAAAAAAAAAAAAGATAAGTGTGTCTCAGATTTGTCTGCCCAGGCTGGCTTCAAACCACAATCTTCAGATCTCAACCTCCTGAGATCAGCACCCAGCTGAACTTTTATTACTTTTGTGATGGCATAATTAAAACTCTTTAAGGGCTGGGAAAGTGCT